TGGTCCCCTTTCATTTTCTGCTTATATCGGCTCTGAACGGAAGCACCATCAAATCCCCATTTCGATAAAAGAGTCAACTGCTTGTCTGTAACATTTTTGGACAAACTGGCAAAGATCATGTTCACCGTGACATTAAGCAGTGAAGCGTTATCTTAGCTGCCGAATCTGTTATAGCTACTGATTGTTTCGGCGAATAGCACTGCAACTTTGCCTGTTGGATCTTGATGATGATCTTTCGAATTGTAGTTTCCCACAAAGTGATGTATTGCCACTTACTTAATTTGAAATAAGTGGCATTACATCACTTTGTGTTCAGTGCTTTTTCTGGCGTAAAAGCTGACGGTTTTATAAAATCATTTTGTTAAATTTTTCAGCTGCTTCAGGATCTTTGAGCATGTGATCAATAGCGGAAGCGATATCATCACCATCATCTTCTTTCATAAGTTTTGCAGCTGAGTGCAGTAATTTGATTGGGTCTTCACCTATATGTTCGCTAGACCTTTTCTTTTTCTACATTGTTCCTAGATCTTCGAAGGGCTTTCGAGATATTTTTGTCATCGTTGCAGCTGAGGATGAATTTGAAGGATTTGCAGCTGTAAAATCTTCACTCGATGACTCTTCCTGTCGTTGTTGAATGATAGTATGCACGCAACTTTGCCAATCTACATTAGCCTCTAGCCAATGTGCGTATTCTTTCCGAAATTTATCACTATTCCGACCGGTTGTCTTCCGCCTCAGTTCAGCAGCAAGTGTGAATCTCCGACAAAATTCTTTGAGGGTAACAATGTCTTCTACAGAAAGCCTGAAACATAGTCGACTTCACTTAGCAGTACTTCATGATTAAATGAAGTACTCTGACTTTTCAGATTTGTAACTAAATCCAGTTCAGTAGTTACTTTCCATATTGTCAATCACTGATGTTCGTGATTGAGAAGTTCAGAAGAAACTGAGGAAATAAATTCATATATTTTAAGCCTATTTATGACCGTGTAATAATGATCCATTAATGACACGATATTTATTAAGTAGTATGAAAAACAAGAAGTATTTATAATTAGCTCTAACTCTTGTGAACTACTCGCTTGTAAATATAACAGAACGCGAGTAAGACCTCCTCAGAAATGAGAGGAGGCCTGTGCCCAGCAGTGGGACGTATATAGGTTGTAACTTTACATTTTTTACTTTACTTGTGAACTACTGCTAATTATGAGATTATTAATGATCTAAAAAATCATGTAACTATTGTGTCTAGAAGCTTTTGTTAGTTAATAAGTTCTAAAGAGATCTGACTACGACTCATTATCATCACATCTATTACGACACAAGCAAACACTAATGATTTTATTATTGGTTTTTGTTTAGTTCTTAGAAGGCCTCAGTAGAATCAAATATGTTTTTATTACCATCGGATGCAGGGTGGTTTGACGTCGTAATAAACCTTTCTTCTGACATATTTTTAAGCAAAAAAGAACCGGTATCAGTTGTCTTTCTGCATTAAAACAAGTTTGAAAAATAAGAAAAAAAAATTTAAACGATTTAAAAAAAGTGCAGTATTTTCCGTATTACGAAGTATGTCAAAAATCATAGATAATTAGTACTATAACCCCCTAAGGATATAATGCGCAATTGTGCGGTTCCAGATAAAAAAAAAAAAAAAAAAAAAATAAAAAAAAAAAAGGTTATACTGATTTTTCGTATTTGCTCCATACATTTATTTCATTTTTTTTTTCGTAAATAACATCATAAGTCGTCAGTTTTTAAGCCAAATTACTTTGTGTGACATTTTTGAGCATAGTAATAATAAACAGAAGCCATTTCAAGCTTAAAAAACGACACTTAAAATTTTAATGGCCAATTGTTCGAAACGCGATTTTCGATTAAATGTGCACCGGCTAGATAATAGATTAGGTAATAGCGAGTGCAGTGCCCAAGCCTGCCACGTGCTACGCCAGCCATCTTGCTTAGTTATAGGGAACCACGCGTGCAGTCCACAAAAATTGATCTTGCATAATTAATATTGGCCCGACCCGGGAATCTAACCCAGGAACCATTAGCGTCACCATTTTCTGGTTTCTTCGACCCGGATTAGAATCGGGACTATTGGAAATGAATGGAAATGATGGGGCATTTTCTGGCCCTTCATTCCGGATATCATTGAAGTCAGTAGCGAGACCAAAACGAATAGGTAGGGCAAACTGTACGCTTGTGTTTTATTTTGTAAATAAACAACAAAATGACCGCAATAACGTAATCCCTAATTTTCTCCCGTATTTCTCTAGCCAATACTTAGTTTCCATACAACAAATAAGATATTGTCCTAAATAAGCAAAAACCATTACTAATTATTGATATTGAATGAAAAATTTGAAATGAATCTACTACAATCCAAGGCCTACCTAAATCTAAGTCCCTACACTAACGAAATAAATGAAATTGAAATTGAAGAAAGCCGTTTTATCTGTATCTGATCTCACTTTATTTTTGTTGTCGGATTACTAACTCGGACATAATGATAAATAGACAATTTTGAATATTTTGTATATAATGATCAATAGGGGCAGATTTTTGTAAAGTTCTATAATAATTGTGTGTTATTCATAATTATTGGAATTTCCTTTTATGGATTTCTCCACCACCATGTAATTAAAAACTATTTTTTCCGCGCAAACCATGTGGGCGTTTTTCAAAAAAAGTGTATGTGACGAACGGGAAATTGAGTGAAACAAAATTTTTAATCTGCAAACTTTTATTACCAGTTACTAAATAATAGTATAAGGGACATATTTTTTAATTTCACGTAAAAGTATTAAAAGATAATCATCAATCATGTAACATGAATTTTTCGTTACTCTTATAAAAATATTCCGATGCGTCACAAAAGGAAATCTAATATTTATTTTAAAATATTAATATTATTTTAACGCGCGTGGCACGTAACAGATTATAGTTCCCATCATGGGTTTGTGATATCAAGATCCTTGGGGCTCTTTAACATCAGCCAGCACCCGCCCCGCAGTTCTGGCTTTTACTCGTTTCCCTGCTGCTGCTGGGCGGTGCTGTTGGCCGCACTACCCTCCTGAGATCTTTCACCTTCCCTTTCTAGGGTTAGCTTAGGGCAGCTGGATCGAAGATGGCCCCTTTCCCCACAGCCATAGCACCTAGGGCTGTATTCTTTATTGCGGCCGCGAACTGTAGCTGCTGCAACCTCCCTGACGCGATGGGAACGATGATCCTGCCGCACGGCTTCCACCTCCAGTGCCAAGGCGTCCTTAAGCGTCTCATGGTGCCCTAGCCTCACAGCAGCTCTGACTACAAGGTCGTGGATGCCGTCGATGAATGTCTGCACCAGGTTCCCTTCAATGAGCGCAGGTGCAGACCGGTATGCTTTTCGCACCAGCTTCTCCACCTCAAGAGCCCACTGCTACAGTTTTTCGTTGATGCGCTGCACGCGATCTTTAAGCTGCGCACGAAAGACATGTTCCAGGTGAGCGTCGCCATATCTCGCCTCCAATGCTTTAAGGAGCTGCTCATAAGTCACTTCCTCACCGAGAGCTTCCAGAACAGTTAAGGCCTGGTCGCGCAGGCCTAGTGTGAGAGCAGTCATGGCCTGACTTTTATTCCAGCCGTCCTTAACGGCTTCAAACTGGATTTTGTAAGCTAACCAGGAAGAAGTCCCGTCGAACGGCGGCACTTTGAACTTTGAACCCACGTAGCGAAGGTGTAGTAGCTACCACGGGAGCTGTAGTTCTATCCCCAAGTTTGAGTTTGTCTAGTGATTTCTTCATGTCAGTCATTACGTTGTCAACCCGATTGTTTACTCGTTCGATTCGGGTTTCAGCTTTCTCGATTCGGGTTTCAGATTCCGACAGGTGGTTGTCATGTTGAGCAACCCTATCCTTCACCTCCCTTATCTCTTTCCCAAAGGTAGCGTGAAGTTCCTTCATAAGGAGCATCTGCTCTTCCAACCGACGGGCCTGTTCCTCTTGTCCACCCCGCAGCTGATCTTCCAACACGGCCTCCCCCTCCCCCCCCCCCGCCATCTTCCATCCGACGGGCCTGTTCCTCCTGTCCGCGCTGCAGCTGCTGCAGCATCACCGTCAGAGCACCTAAGTCAGGTGCTACAGACGTGGGAGCTGCTGACGGGCCGGCCTCCGTGGCAGGTGGCTGGCCCTCCGACGTCTACGGCGTTACACCACCAAATCGTCTCTGGTCCGTCTCCTGCTGGCGTTGACTTCAGAAATGGACACCCTCCGTATCGTCCTTCGTTAAAATCGGCATGATTTGATCCCACTTCTAACACCAATTGTTACGAGCTTAGGGTTCGTGACAATAAAAACTACCGATTTAATTACCAAAATTGACACTTTAATTACTGAACACCAATTAAAACTTAAATCACACTAATAATTAATCACACTTAACACTTTATTGGTATGCTTCAGAACGGAACGGTTTATCTGCTGCCAAATAGCAGTGCTTGCACTTTTCGGATGTATCCCATGGAACACCGCGACGCAGCTCCACCTGATTGTGTTTTTGGCGGCGGAAGAAAAAGGGGAGATCTCCCATCGGGAAAGGTGTTCTGCCCGGGGGCGGCCAACGCTCTCACTCGCTCTCACCGTTCTCAGATCTTCAGTATAGTTCGTTTAACTCCTAGATGGCCTTCCGAATAATCATTACGGTACATCTGTAGAACATCCGGTACTTTAGCTTTAGGGACAACCATTTGCAAATGACAGCTGTCTTCCCGACCATTTTCCCAGAACTAGGATAGAAATAGGTCAGCGGGTCTAAAGACAATACAGCATATTATAATCTATTAAATCGATAATACAAATTTCGACGAATGATTAACTTTGTTTGTAATCTTAGTAGCCATTGATTACTAATAGTAGACTTGTATCGACCAAACTTCTTATTATTTCGTTACTATAGCTTTGAGGGTGATAGGTTTGTTTACAATTAGATATACTTTTTCATTCAATAGTGTAAGTAAAATAATGGATTCATCCATCCCAATTTTTGAAAAACCTCACCCTAAAGTCAGTGTGCTAGACTGGACACGAAATATTCAACGACTTCAGAATGAAGCTAGGTTGCGTAGATTTGAGTCGTACGAACTGAGACAAAGGGCTCACCAACTTCGTAATGAAACGTCTGTTACTACTTATTGGGATAACTATACTAACAACGAGTTATTAAGAGACAGGTAAGTTTATTTGACCTTATAAATCATTTGACTTATTTGAATGACGGACCCAAATAAGTAACTAATGGTACCGACGAATAAAAGTAAGCAACTCATCAACTGCTACCTGCCGCCTGAAGCTGTGCTAACTAGCCGACTGGCCGACTGGTAATTAAATAGAATATGGGTGACAAACGAGTACACAGTCCACTTAATGGTAAGTGGATGTTGTGGCCCATAGACATCTCATTCTATTTTCGATTAAGAACCAAAATGTAGAAAACGTTGTCACCCCTGGGGATTATGATGAAATGCCCCGTTTCCATTGAGAAGAGCCTGCGGTTCTCCACACTTACCATACATACAATAGCGGCGAAATGAGTTTGTAAAGCAATACAAAGGTGCGTGGAATGTGATTTTTGGAGCTAAAAGATATACAAAAAGTTCTTATATCACCTTTATAGAATTTGCACATGATTGCGACGCGACTGTAACTCGTAACTAAACCTTAAAGCATCTGGCAAAGCTATTTTTTACATGTTACACCTATATTATAATTATTATAAGAATTAGTGACAGAACAGAAGTATTATTTCAAATTAATTGTGATGTGCATAATGATTTCATTTCACTTTGTTTACGCAGAATATTAGTGCGAACATCAGTTTTCTGTCAAAATATGTAAGTATTCATTGATTAATCCAAATGCATCATGCGCTCGCGAAACTTGTAGAATTTGCAATTATAGTCGGAGAGCTGGCGACGAATTTTGGGGATGTCTTTTTGCCAAGTTGAAATTGTGAAAAAATTGTGATAAACCTTCGTCTAGATCTAGGGCATCCCTTCCCGACTCTATCGTTCGGATCCGCAATATAAATTTCCTTTGTAACTATTTCCTCATTCATTCTTTCTACATGACCAAACCACCGAAGCATTCCTTTCTTAATCCTGGTCGCAACATCATCTTAAATAAAGATAAAAAGTTAACACTTAATATATTACATTAATAATCATATTCAATAAATATTAGTTAATTTTGTTATAGGTAGGTCTTAAAAAGGACTAGGTTCTCAATTCCACCTGGCTTATATTTTCGCGAAAACTTTATATTACGGATTTTGATATTTTACGTATAGTTTAGTTTTTTTTAAACCTGACTAGTGTTTCGCAGCACTAGTCACGGAAAAACTAGGGCGAGTTTCTGATATCATAGTTAAACCCAATTTTAATATTTCCGATCTAATGGTTTACGCAGAATGAGCTCTAAGCCTAAGAGAAGTCTCCAAGATACAGTAACCTATTATTCTGGACGGTAAACATGAGTTTGTGATAATGATGATTACGGTCACGCCAATGACCAGACGATGATTAATCGCAGTTTACCGTATAACTGCCAATGGTGTACTACATCAAATTTCGGGAATCTTTCATTGGAAAGGGTAGATCATCACGAAACCACCTTTCACGTGTTTAGCTGTAGATTATTTTTGACCCATGAGAGTAACGGTGGGATAGCGACATGAGAAGCGCTGGAATGTGCTATTCATATGTCTAATTACCAGAGCAATGATTATGACGTTAAGGCGATTTATCGCCAGAATGGAAAGCCGTCTGTTATGTACAGCGACAACGGCACGAATTTCCCAGCTGCAAATAGAGAATTAGTGCAAGCATGCGAAGAGCGCTGCGCAAACATGAAAAATGTATCATAACGAGTGGTAAAATTAAAAAATTTTACAACCGATTCAATATGACCGAATCAATGTATTCGCAGTCGATTAAATATACATTATTAAAGATAACTCAAAAACTACTGGTTAGATCTTGATTAAATTTATATGGGACCACACGAGAAGAACCAGCTTTCAGATAAGAAAAGAATCATCAAAGTATAAAACACTTAAAATACATACAGTCAAATTGAATAACTCCTCCTTGATTTAAACTACTTTTACGGATTTTATCGCGTTTAGTTTATTTGATTTTTGATTCCCGACGTTTAGGGTGCTTTCCAGGACCCATGGTCACGGAGGACTGAGGTGACTGACGTCCCGATGTCAATGTGAAGCCAAAGTACCTTCAGCTTTTTAATTATTATTTATGGTCAGATATACGCAGAATGAACTTATTGTGTCTTGAAGTCTTGCAGTGATATGCTTGCGTTTAGTTTTAATTTTATTCTGACTTCAGACTTCCTGCAGTTTGTGATCAAACGGCCCCCACCATTACATCAGTTATGATATACCACAAATCCTTGCGAAAGAACATCGATTCTCACCAAGGATGATACGTGAGGCTATTGAAATTGGCACCTGCTTGAGACCCTGTAATTAATAAAATTAAAACTAAACCCAAGCATACCACTGCAAGACTTCAAGACATTCCCCTAATGCAGTTCAAGTACACTTGCCGCCCACTTAAAACAAAAAAGGCGTGGGCCTGGCCTGTAATTAGGTATTATGGCATTTAATATACCCTTCGATGACCCTATGAGAACAGCCGAGACCGGTCAGAATGGAGGACTATAGTCATCAGCGCTACGAAGGCATTAAACTACAGACACGACCTTCAGTCACGAAGAATACGACCAAGAAGATATACCCTTCAGACCGGGACTACTATTGGCTACAGAAATAAATATGAGGGTAGTACCCAAATCCCAAACGAGCCAGGCAGAAGTAGAGCTGTTACATCCCCTAGTATCTGTGCGTGGGTTTGTACTTCTTTTCATTAATTAGGATCAGAATCAGCTGGTAGATTAAAATTACCACGAGTTTTAATATCCGTAGTCTCACGGATTATCTTTGGTACGAATCAATATTCTTTCCCGAAGATTTGTGGCCTATATAGTGTTACCATGGTGCTCTAAATAACTCGAAACGCCGGGAGTTAAAAATTAATGAAAATGAGATAAATTCATAAAGTAGGTAGTAGTTGTAGCACGAATGCGTCGGCTCGACTGTACAGGACCACGCTCTCACAGAATACCGGCGTAAAAATAGCAGCGTAATGGTGCTACGTTTCGTATGGTGAGTGTAAAGAACCGGTGACTCTTTTGATTGGAATCGAGACATTCTATATTAGTCCTCAGGGGTGACCACGCATTTGCATTTTGATCCTTAGTTGAAGATAAATGTGAATATCTATGTCACCCAATGGTATAAAAAAATTCATAAAGTTCAAATAACTGAAATAAGAGATTGACGCTCCGGGAAGACAGTGAACTTCTTCAAGATAGCCAACATGACAAACCATCACACAGTCGTCGCCACCTGATTGTGAGTGAATGTTTGACTGAGAATCAAAATACAGATATGTTTAGGGCCTGATTTACCCACAGGCTAGCTAGGCTCGAGCTTCGAGCGCAAGGTCGAGGAGGCGCTGAGTTTTCCTTTGCAAGCACCACTTATGTACACTACAAAATTTGGTATTATACCTATTGCTAATAAATAATAAAGTTATATTGCCGCAAGTGTTTTACTTGTTGCTATTTCTAATTTTTTGGTACAAAACAAATAAATAGATTGTGAAAATAAAACTGAATTATTTGATACCTTTCGTTTTTCGTTGACAGACTGGACGTGATTCAGATTTTAAACTGCTCAAGCTCTCTTCTCTACGTCTAATTTTATTAAGGTGTTTTGCCAAGGCTGTCCAAGGAAACTTCTATCAGTGTTGTCACCTCTAAAGAAGAAAGAAGATGGAATGCCTCGTTAATAGAAAAAAGGGTCTCGTTATACACGATACGAAATACAGCAGCATTTGCTTGTATTAAGGGAAACAAACGAATTTGCTGTAACTTTCTTACTTCTTTCTTTTGTTTTGATTTAAAAATATATACGTCAAACTGCGTATATAATCACTACCCCATGTCATCTCGGGGGTGTCGTAAGAAGCGACAGAGGGAAACAAATCAGGAGATGGGCAGAAGCGTCTTACTTTGAACAACTTTAAAAAAAACTGCGGCTACTAATCGACTACCAAGCGTGTCAAATATGAGGAAATCTTTGCGGAGGCCTATGTTCATCAGGGGACTTTAATAGGCTGTAACGGGTACGGTAACGATATAAAGCAAAACCGTACTTACGAGAAGATATATCTACTCTTCCTAAACCTTTACCATAGTAAAAACAGAATAGCAGGGTACTCCCGCGCCGCGCGATGGCACTGCCTACCGTTGCATGGTTGTCACTGTCTTATTGTTTAACAGTTTTATAAGTAGTTATAATATTTACAAACATGATGCATACGGACACGTACCTATGCATCATATTTGTTAATCATTTCTTTAGTTTCCTCTCAGTAATCAATGTTTGTCAAAAAAAAAAACAGATTTACACTACAACAAATGTCAAATAACTAAAATACGAGTATATGAACACTGAGCATATAATGTCAGCTCAGATTTAATGCGTAACATTATTATATTATCTGATGCGATATGATAATTAATATAGTTATGAAGTATGTATATGATGTAATATGTCATTACAATTATAAAAAAATAAAGATTACCTGTAATGACCTACTCTCCATCCTAGCATCTAGTAAAGTTTCAACTAGCAATAATAGTGTAGGTGTAGGTTATGTTACTACATATATATAAGTATATATATGTGGTAACATAACCTTTTAATAAAAAGCTAATTTACTTAAACAATCGCATATATTAACTTATTTTACAAAAAGAGAAAATAAAATGAAATAAAGACTGCTAGCAAAATTTTGTAATATACAGTCTCAAACAAAGAAGATTGCGGAGCGCGGCGGTGGGCATCTTCGACTCGGCCTGATCTTCCCGACTTTGTTGTTGACGTTGCAAATGTCGTTGTGTGCGTGTTGAAGCTCGTGCGTACGAGTTCGTAATGTCACGTGCCAGGCACGCACACTTATTAGCGGAGTTCTGTACATTTCTTAGAATAACGCCTACTATTCTGTTTTTACTATGCCTTTACCTAAAATCGACAGCTGTAAACTTATAATATAATTGAAAACCATCAGACATTCATAATTATTATTGCATTATAGAATATTTCATGTTCAGTCATGGCGAGAGAAACAGAGGTTCACACGGGAATGTTTACGGGATGAGATACGTATTTTGAAAGAAGAGAAGAACTCTACAGAGCTACACTTAGAGTCTTTGCAGGTGCCACTGATGGTAGTGTCGCAATGCCTTTCAAATAGAGACCAGAGAGTGCCTCCGGAATTGACAAGAGATCAACTTGGAGAAGAACTCAATAAGGTATAGTTATTAACTTATTAACCAGACTCTCAAAATCCACTATTGGACATAATTAAAGATTTGTAAACTGGTTGACGTTTTCAAACGTACATATCGGTCGCTAAACCCTCCCTGCCCGAGGTTAAACTTTTTTTTAGTATTAGAAGCACTCTTCTCACGACTTCTAACTTCTTTGAACGAGCATCTAGTCCAACTGATGTTAAGTAAGTGGATGCTACATTCTGTCACCCCTGAGGACTTGGAATGAGGACTGAGGAATGAAATACCTCCACACCAGTAAAAAGGATCTCCGGTCCTCTACACTCACCATACGAAATACAGCTGTATTATTCTTCTATTTCACGCTAGTGTTCTGTGAGAGCGTGGTCCTACCGCGATCAAGCCGACCCATTCATGCTGCAGCCACGTGTAACTAGCATAGCATTATTGTGGCTCTACCACGTAACTGAACACTAATACGACATAACTGGGCTGAAAAAATACAGTATTAAAAAGGTAACATTGTCTATGCACTGATGGTCATCATGACGATTGAATAAATACCTAACTATCTAACTGACCCCGATTCAGTTTAGCACACGGCTTATTTATCTAAGCAAAAAGATTTGTACGATGCGAATTAATATTTTGACCGTCTGGTAGCGGATCAATCAATCAACGAACAACTACCACATACCGTGTCGTGGGTGTCGTCAGAGGTCACAGAGAAAAACAGAAGATATGCAGCAGAAATTTCCTGCCAACAACTTAAAATTATTAAAAAAAAACTTGTCAACCCACCAGTCAAGCGCTGGTAACTAAGGCAAAATTTCCCCAATTAGGCAATAATTGGGGGAGGCCTATACGCAACAGTGAACTTTTATAAGTACCTGTAAGTATTATTATGAATTCTGTGGTTGTAATTGAAAGATAAACTTAACATTTAATAGAAACGCTTGGGTACAAAACCTATGAGCTTAATATACCAACGTTCTAGTAAATAATTGTGTGTTGAACAAATCCTCTTTGTGTGTTGAACAATTCGTCTTATCCCAGTCACGCAATCATCCATTCGTTACAACAATGTAACATTCATTTTCATCATTATCGTCAGTCCGTAAAGTCCAATAATCGTTGACCTCTTTCGTTATACTACGTGGTACTATTATTTATTCTGTGGTTATACGGAGGAATTGCCTCGTCACACTTGGCAGAAGGATTGATCGTAGTACCAGACGTTTACTATGAGGTCAAAATCAAATGTAGGGGTCACTCGTTGTGTGATGAACTCGTAAGTCTGAAATCTTTTTTGCCTGATGAAGACGTTGTTGTTACCCCTATATATATTTTAAATTTCATTGAAGAACGATAAGCATTGAAACGTAAAATAGCGAGTGGGAAAAGTAGTTGACAAACTTGGCAACTTTGTCAATCGGAAATAACACTGCAGGAGACATCGGCTTCGATGCCTTAATAAAAGAGTCTGTCGATAGAAAAGTAAAATTTTATTAGCAAAAGTATATGTACTTAATTTAAATAAACGATTGTATTTAAAAACTAATATTTTATTTTATTTTTCCACATGTGTAAATTGGTCACAGATATGAGGGTAGGCCTATGCCCACCCGTGGGATATAGGCTGTAACTTTACTTTACTTTACTTTTAAATTGGTAAGTGGAGCGGGGACGCGCGTAGAAATCACGCCTAGGCGCCGGTAATGTTAAAACCGGCACTGTTATCACCTTTGACGCTATACCCTTTCGCCGGTCTTAGTATTTTTTCTTGGCGTAAACAAGATGCATACACCGCCATCAATCGCAAGTTAAGTTAAGGAAGTCTTTCTGCCGTATCCCATAGCATTAAAGTAATATGTACTAAGTCCCAGAAGAGACGCCGAGACTTGGTCGTTTGCAATACGCATTGGAGCACATGGACTCACACTTAATTAGTCTTTGCCATAAAATGGTAGGTACTCTGTGCCTTCTTTCACGCGCTTCGCACTGATTTTGTCCGCAGTGTCTGTTCTAGTATGTAGCGCCTGCATATTAGTGTTTGACTATCTCCTTGGTCTATTGCTCGTAAACACGACTGCTGATCATGAGGTTCCCGGTTCGAATCCCGGGTCGGGCTAACTAACATCAGCTGTTGTGTTTTTATGTCAAGAAATGAATTGAATGGCCCGAAGAGCTGGAAAAAAGGGGAAGCAAAAGAAACAGAAGAGAAAGGAAGGGGAAAAAATTCTCTGAAGTAGCCCAGAGTAGGAAGTTGGTGGTGTTTCACTTTCGTGGCTCGGAAAACTTGTAACGTTGTAGGATCCTGATGCTGATCTCCGTGTCGCCTTGCCATCCCATTGGACTATGAGAGCACAGGTGCACTCTCTATACGCAAATAAGCGGGCACTATAATCGGGCACTATAATCGGGCACTATAATAGGGCACTATAATCCTGTCCTGTGCAGATGACTATTCGCCGTTAAGACTGGCTGAAGTAACCAAAATTCGGTCTGAAGGACATTATTAGTCCACTGTCTTATAGTCGCTTCTTACGACATCCACGCGATGAAATAGTAATGGATTCTCTCTCGCAAAATTGTATTTCTATTTCATTTACTCAAGTACAAAACAGTTTGACGAAAGTAGTATAAGATACTGTCGACTATATTTTTTATATGTAATGAAATATAAAAAAAAAACAATCTTCAGGAACTCCATATTATAGAGAACAGTAAACGCGTCTTAACAGATATTTGCCGCATGGGCTGGGAGAAGATTAAAGAATTGCAAAACGTGTACTGCAGACTGGATAGAGAGATACAAAACAAGGATGAAACGCTGGATTTGGAATATTACGTCAAAGACTTGAATAGAGAAAGCTCTAATATTTCCTATCAGTTGGACCCCACAAGAATCCCTGCAGAGTAAGTTAGCGTTTGTTATTGTTTGTTTTAAATTGCTACTCATTAAAAAAAGATTACGTAAACATTAGATTTGAGAATTAATTTACCATTTTGTTTTGAAAATAAATATTTCACTATCCAGTTTTTTTTAAAATAGAATAGGGGTAAAACAAGCATGCGGCTTACCTGATGGAAACTTTGAGTATTTAAGCAATACTCAAAGGATGGTAAGTGTCGACCGCCGCTCATGCAATATCAGGGGAATTGCAGGTGCATTACAGGTCTTTTATGAGGGAGCGAGCTCATTTTTTGAAGATCCGTCGGACTAATACGACTTAGGAATCAAATTATTAATTAGTAAATTACCCATAATATATTTGTCATCTATTAGAAAAATCATTTATTTTATGACATTATGATAAAAATCAAGGATACAATTCAATTAAGCACATTTTACACTTGTTCTTGGAAAGCAATATTTTTATTTATTCCAAATTCCTAAACGCTAAAATGTATAGTCGGCAAGAGTAAAAATATCATATGCTTTTATAGTATGATGTCTGTGACTGAAGCGAACTCCGGTGAGAACGGAGATTACTAACTGAAACTTTTGTTTTGTCAATATGGTTAGTTGATAAAAGAAGTAAGTACCTACTATTGGGGTGTTGCTTTTTTATAGAATAAGGGTGACAAGCGGGCACACAGCCCTGATGGTAAGTGGATGCTGTGGCCCATAGATATCTACATTTATCTTCAATTAAGAATCAAAATGAGATACGTTGCCAGCCCTGAGGACCGAGATGGAATACCTCGTTTCCAGTAAAAAGGGTCTCCCGTTCTGTACACTCACCATACGAAACACAGCAGCATTAAGCTGCTATTTTACGCAGGCATTCTGTGAGAGCGTGGTCCTACCCCTGTCGAGCCGAACCATTCGTGGTTCAACCACAATATAGCTGCAGCATGGCTTTAGCACGTAAAAAAATTTCGCTTTCATCATACTAACTTATCAAGATCCTCTTCCATTCGCTCTCGAAACATCGTCTGTAGCCCTCTGCTTCTGCAGGTCAGCTTAGCTTAAACAAGGTTCGTCATCGAAACATTGGCAGTATTGGAATAACGTTTCCACCTTCCTTCGAGCTACTCACTGCGCTACTGTGCTTCGGCACGGCTCTCAGCCCTAACTGCTCATCTCTGCTTCACGGCACCCTTGCAACATTGCAACTCTTCTTTACTATTTCTCGCAACATTGCAACTCCTGGCAATTTCACCTTCGTCGACAACTGATCTCCGATCTGAGCAAGGGGAGTGATCACTTCACTCACCCACGCGATTGCCCGCAATATCTTGCTGTCAGTTAGAGCTAAGCTCTTACGTGCCCTAAGAGACGATTGGGAATGACCAGAAATACCTTTTGGTCGCTGGTGGAAAGTTGGAGAGGTGTTATTACCATTTAGTGTACTAGATGTAAAATATCCAGTCAGACGACAAAGAGCATTGTAAAATGCGTAAAATGAAATGTGGCAAGTGTGGCGATTACGGAAAATACTTTCATAAAGCAGAAGAGCCATGCCGCAACTCTTTTTCTATTGCACCTCATATCGTAATGCCACTATTCAGTGCTCTTTCATATGTGCCAACGCAGTTTTATAAATCCGAAAGCACAAACTAGTAATGAATAGGTCCAGTCTAAAGATAACAAAATGATTGAAAGGAGCCTTCGAATCATTTTGTTCATCAATTTGAATCATATTGGTATATAAGGCGAAGCATTTCCTATAGTTGCCGCTTTGGATACCTACGGGACGATATGGGAATTTCTGGACGAATGGATGTTGTTACATCGCCGCCATAATCTATGGATTGCTTCCACCATTTTGATTATTTCTACCCCAAGTAGCTCTACTGTATTATGGTTAAGAGGGTAAGAGAACCAGTATAAGCACGGACTTTCAAAATTTCATCTTATTTTTAAGGTAACACACTATTTATTGGTTCCTTTGTTTGAAGTACATGAGTTGCTACAGCGACTTTCTATCAGAGGCCTATGGTTCGCTTGTTTCCTTATAAATGACGTGATAATTAGGTTCCCGGGTCGGTTCGGTCTGGCTATTCCCCGTTATCGACCTGAACAGATAGTACAGTACAGTAGTATAGAACAGATAGAAAAGATCGAAATTTCTACTAATACTAAACCAATATAGAAGTGCATTTTACTACCTCGGTTTCGCTAAATGCAATGCTGACACTATTCGGCCCGCATTGGTCACACGTTAGAGCTTCTCTCCGACTTTTTTACGTGGTAGAGCCACGCTATAGCTAGGTATATTAGTTGTAGCACGAATGGGTCGGCTCAACCGGGGTAGAACCATGCTCTCATAGAATACCAGCGTAAAATAGCAGATAAAGGCTGTTGTTTTCGTATAGTGAGTGTTGAGGACCAGAGACCCTTTTTTACTGGAAACGAGGCATTCCATCTTAGTTCTTAGAGGAGACAACGCATCTGCATTTTGATTCTTAATCGAGGATAAATGTAGATGTCTATGTGTCACAGCTTCCACTTACCATCAGGTGGATTGTGTATTCGTTTGTCACCCTTAATCTATAAAAAAAAACTTTCGATGTTTCCAGGTTTATACTTTATATACAATGATTGTAAACTAAAAAGAACTAACGGTTTAGTGTTTCAAAATATTATAGACCTAAATAAAATTTCTTCTCACAAAAAATACAATGCTAATGGTAGTATTTTTTTTTTATATATAAGAAGGGGCAAACGAGCAAGTGGCTCACCTGATGTTAAGTGACTACCGCCGCCCATGATCAACCGCAACACCAGGAGAATTGCGGGTGCGTTGCCGGCCCTTTAGAAAGGAGTAAGCTCTTTTCTTGAAGGTCCCCAGGTCGTATCGGTCCGGAAAAATCGCCGGTGGTAAACTATTCCACAGAGAGGTTGTACGTGGAAAAAAACTCCTTGTGAAACGTACAGTGGTGGACCGCCCAGCATCCATATGGTGTGGATGGTATCGGGACGTTTGACGTGTAGTGCGTTCATGAAATTTGGCGGCTGGGATTAATCCGAACAATTCCTCAGAGCACTCCCCGTGATAGATGCTATAAAATACGCATAGAGGTAGTATAAATAACATTGAAGAATTAAAGGTGGACGTAGATGTAGTCAGTAAAAACAAAGACAATCGCAACACTTCTAGATCCAAACTCGAACAAGAACAAACCATCTACTTAATATGGCCTTTCGTACAAATATGTATGTATCGATTGTACATGTATCAATTATCTTTCAATCGTTTCTTGTTAAATTTGAAGAATTGCGTATTTTGATTTTGTATATTTTCTATATTGCTCTTTTTAGATCAATGACAGAAGAAAGTTATGTACATTGTATAGAGAACACAATAAAAATTGCCAATCAACTGATGGACGAGTCCAAAGCCCTGAGGGAGTCTATGTTTAAAAGCCGGGAACAGGCAAGGAATCAAATGTATGCACAATCACAAGAAGTAGAGATGATAATGAGGAGACGAGTGTACGATATACAAAGAGCGAGGAACGAGATGGAATGGCAAAAGTATAAGGTGAAGATTAAATCGTACCAAGAAGGAATATTTTTTGATCTAATAGCGTATGAGAGCGTGGAAAATTTCGACATCCCTAAAGTATTTACTCGTAATAAAGTTTACCGTGCATCTCCTGAGCAAATTTCTGGATTTAGTTATTCTGTGGTACCTAAATCTTTTCCAGTAGTTTTAGATAATAGCTTACTAAGCTAAAGTTATCAATGTTGGAGTTCAAAAAATATCGATTTTCTTTGCAATTTTTGTTCCAATGCTCATTTATGATATGACGATGTCCCGCACTTTTGGGTATAAGAACCACAGTACAATCTTGGAAGGTTATAAATCCAATGCACAAGCTAGAAAAGATTAGGTCCAGTCTGAAAGGAAGGCTTGATTTTAGGCGATCTCCGATTAAAATTATAATAACTTAGAGCCTATATACACCATAACACGGTGTATCGCCGTACGTATTCCGTTCATATTAACTTAAACTTAAATGGAAAGTTGGAATGCCTTTATTAAGCACACCGTGTTTCCTCTTCTTTAATTCTCTATTGCTATTATATTGGTATTTGCACGGAATAAATAAGGAACAGAAGGATCACTCTCTGATAGCAAACTTGCGAATTTAGGCCTAATTACAACGTCGCTAATGTTCACTTTGCACACCTCGGAAGCGACTTTCGTCAAATAAGTATATTGATTAAATCGTCGAAATGTTACGCGCCTTTGTTAAGGCCACTCCAACTGTGGGGTTAGGTGTTGTGAGACAAATTGAATCCTGTGATATTAGTTGGTAATAGAATACACCAAGGTGTTATGTGTGTGCTAGTAATTTGCTGATAATAAGAATATTATTGTTCAATGTAAGATAGGTTAAAGGTATTATGTATATCTATTAAGGTACCTATATATAACCTACTAATACTACCTACGTGTAACTACAGAAACGGTGGCTCGTAGAAAAAAAGAATTGATATATTTTTTGTAGATAATTTTATGATCTACAACTTTTGTCTGAGGTATTTTTATGATAAAACTTACTGTTTTGCTGAAAATCGCCTCATTTTTTGACCTTTGACTAAAAAAAATTCCATAGATAGGAATGGTGAGGAACTTCTAGATTGACCGGACTATAAAAAAGCCTCTTGCAGGCGGCCGCGCAGCGTAGGTATATTTGATGCCTAAAGCGCGGAGTGAGACAGGCCTGGTATTTGTAAGCTGCAGTAACCACTTACCAAGTGCATTTAAGCTAACTTGTCACTATAATACCCACTAATAATGAGAGTAGTATAAATGAGCACACGGTACACACCTGATGGTAATTGGATGCTGTGGTCCATAGACATCTATATTTGTCTTCGATTAAGATTCAAGATATCCCTGAGGACTAATGTTTCTTCGCATACACCTAATCCGTCATCAGATGGTCATCGGCCGAAGTTTGCTCGGGCGATGACGGCCGAACTCGAATGAAACACTTGTAAAACAAAGAGAGCGCGTACACCAACAAGACTGTCATCGTCCGACAACGCACGAAAACGGCCGATCAACCGTCGAGTCCGAACTTGTTGGGATTTCTCGCCCGACTGCCGGCGTCTACAGTGCAAATTGAATGTATTGATAGTTTAATTTAATCATTTTGTCTTTATTCCGTTGTATCTGTCAGTGTTATTATCTACCTAAACGACTACGGATATTGAAAATATAAAAATAGAAAAGAGTACCGGCAACGTCCAATGTCGGCACAAGTGGTACACTGTATCAGTGCAAGCACATACACGTCCGAGTTACTCGTCCAGGTAGTTCTGTCCGCCATCGGCCGACAAAATCGGATTCGGTGTACACGTACCATAAGATGGAATGCCTCGTTTCCAGTAAAAAGTTAGTCAGTGTTGTTATCTACCTAAACGACTACGGATATTGAAAATTTAAAAAATAGAAAAGAGTACCGGCAACGTCCAATGTCGGCACAAGTGGTACACTGTATCAGTGCAAGCACATACACGTCCGAGTTACTCGTCCAGGTAGTTCTGTCCGCCATCGGCCGACAAAATCGGATTCGGTGTACACGTACTATAAAATGGAATGCCTCGTTTCCAGTAAAAAGGGTCTCCGGTTCTCCACACTCACCATACGAAACACAACAACATTAAGCTGCTATTTTGCACTGTTACTCCATGCGAGCTCGATATCACTCCGGTCAAGACACTTATCCGTGCCACAACCATAAAATTGAAGCAATTTGGCTCTACCGCGTATAATTATCATTAATTTTTTTTTTTTAGTTGGAAACAAATCTGCAAAAGGTAGACAGAGAGATTGAGGCTCTACGAGCAGCTGTTGCTGATAAAATAAATCCTACTAAATTGGTAGAAACTAGACTGGAAATACGTACTAGAAGACCTGTTCTAGAAAGAGTTCAGGTTTGTTTTGCCAATATTAATCATCAATATTATAATTTAATATTTTTGTATCAAATTTGTTGTTTTTTGTTCAAAAAGGATAAACCGATGCGCGGATTAATTGAAGAATATGAGAGAGTTCATATGAGCACGAGCATGTTGGAGAAAAAACTAAACGATGCTTTGTAAGTTAAGTATTTAATATGTCTAAAAATAGATTTACTATTTTTATTAATTTATTTCTTAAAATTTCTCAGGACCACATACCACGGAATGTATAATCATTATCAGCGTATTATTAAGGACTTGGAGTACAAAAACCAAGCACTTGAAACGGATAGACGTCTCATAGAAATTCGGAAACCATTGCATGGCCCTGACGAAACCAACTTTAAGAGAAACGTGGGCTACTGTCACATGGCCGATGAATTGGTCTCGGAGTAATTTATAAGCGACATAAAAAGAATGTTATGAGTCTACTTTGTAAGTTATTGCACATAGAAAAATAATTAAAAGTTTAATGTAAAATGAAAGTTGAGTTGTCACCAATACCGATATAATCACTATAGCCCGGTCGTCAAGCACTAAGAATTTCCTACAAAGATAAAAGAAAAGCAACTCTGAAAAGAGCAATATTGTCCACTATGAAACAGGATCAAGTTCATCGTAGCCGATGTATCGAACCTAGTCCTGGGAGCAGATTATCAGTTCATCGTAGCCGATGTATCGAACCTAGTCCTGGGAGCAGATTTTCTGAAACATACGGATTTTAATTTACAATATTGCTTTGAGGCAATAGGCAATGAACTGCAAGAGTGAGACGGTAATAGCGACTCCCTATTGAATAAAATATTGTGAGTTTTGACGGGAACTTCACCGGTGCGACCCGGCGCGGCTGCTTCCGTATTAGGGCCGATCCTCATTTGCCGTTCACAGTTCGGTCTCGGTCTGATTTATTATATTATTGGAAGGGGATTCGAGGGAAACTTGACTGTTACGGATATTATGATATACTACATATTATAATATAATATATATGTCAAGTAAAAAATATGTGAGTGCATTCATAATATCCGTTACGGTCAAGTTTCGCACGAATCCCATTCCAATAATATAATAAATCAGACCGAGACCGGACCGAGACCGAACTGTGAACGGCAAATGAGAATCGAGCCTTATAGTTTAAATAATGGTTTGAAGTAGATTTTGATATGTAAAAGTGGTTCGATTTTGTGAATTAAATTAATATGAGCGCTTGTGAACTATTAGTCCAAACGATGAAACAAGTGCTCCGATGGTGATGTGAATCTAAAGATAATGTGTCTGCTTAAGCGCCTTAGGATATAATTGTCATCGTTTGTTGGCTCAACCTACCGTTAAAAACTCTGCATCAACACATTATAAAGAAGTTTTGAAAAAAAATATATTACTAAGGATATTATGTATAGATAAAAAATATAGCAACACTGGACATTGGTTGTGACGGGCTCACACATTACGAAAAAATGTAACGACTTTTTAGAAAATTAATTATTCACTAACCTAAACTTAACTTATATTTATGTTACAAAAACTATTAACTATCTTTTGTTCGTAAAACATGTTTTTGTTCCAACTACCATTAAAATAGGCAAATTATAAACACTGCTATTGTTTTAGAATGATGTGTTCTCCTATAATTGGTAGTACATAGTAGTAATTTATAGATGTAAACTATTGGAGATCCATACAAATAAATAAATATATAAAAAATTACCGTACGAGTCCATTACCAAAGGAAAAAAAATGTATTTTTCCCTTCTTTTTGTATAAACAGAATTATTTGTCGATTTAATCATTGCAGATATGGACTCAGAATCTTTCGTATTGGTAACAAATAACCTTCCTTCAAACATCTTTTTCGAGACCAGGGCTTTAGGAACGGGACTTTCCCATACTCGCGGGACTGTTGGCAAGACTACATATGTATAAGATTATTTCTTATTTTCGTGTTATAAATTAATTGACAAAAACGACTATAATAGTAATTTTTTATTGCATGTAAAATTCTTACAAATACTGACAAAATTGCTTAACACTTTCATTGTCCGAATTTCAGACGCAATAGTTCATATGTAGCGCATTGGACAACGAAAGGGTTAAATTATGAAAATGATAATAGTTATATAAAATGACTACTATGATCAGATTCTAATAGTTATGCAGTTCTATTTCTATTATATTATAGCACATATGTAATTTCATATTAGCATGTTTTTATACAGCCATTGTAAGTTCAAAATTTAAATTCTCGTCTTGAAAATCACAAACTGATACACGGAAACTTTATATACATATAGTGCGTAACCTGATATACATATGACTATAACAAGTTTTTGTCCATTTGTACCGAATTGATACCGTTTGAATATATATATATATATATATATATATATATATATATATATATATATATATATATATATATATATATATATAAATGCTAATTGTTATTAATAATAATTAAACTGACGTTTATACTTAAAATATTTTTGGTTCCAAAAACGTTATAATAACACTATATAAACATTTCAAATACTTAATAAAACACAACATTTATTAACTATTAATATAGAATAATTGTGAACTTTCAAACTGGTAAAAAATAAACAAACACAAAATGTTACATACACAAATTTTTCAATAGTATATGAGGAAAGTTTTGCTCATAATATATGTCTTTAAAACTTAGATAATTTAAAATAGGAATGACAGAAATAATATGATTGGAAACATTGTTCTACTCGTAGACAGAGAAACCTATAGACTAATGATTAGCGTGGCCTCGAGTGAGAAAGGACGATAACGTAGTTTTAGGTTATACAATAATCTTTATGTCTTTTAAACATTCAACAGAACAGAACAAGATTCACCAATCTTAAGCTCACAAAACACATTTTTCTCACTTAAACCAATTTGTAAACTCTAGATCGCTACGAACTGTCAAAGTTGTTTAGCAAAGTGTAGTTTGCTAAATAAAAAAACCGGCACGGAGAAAGGGACAAACAATCACACCGCTCTATCTTATTTCTATGCAAGACGTATGCATTAAATATCTTATCTTTTTCGTGTGCGAATGCGAAAGAAGGCGTCAATTTGTCTATAGGTTTCTCTGTCTACGGTTCTACTTGTACAAAAGAAATAAACAAAAACCATAGACTATTTTGATATTTTTTTTATTTGGCGGGAAATAGTGAAAAAGTGTTAGGATCTAAGCTATTAGTAAATCCGACTTAGGTGCAACATTATCATACGCTTCGTCTAATAATCTGCAAATCATTGATATATTCTCATCATTCAACTTCCTGCTAGAGGCCAATCGAATGGAAGGTTCCGGACAGTTGATTTCAACGTCCCTCAAATATGTTGCAACTGCGAAAGCGACCCCTTCTTTCATGCAGTAGTTGGCGATATCTTTTAGATATGAGTGCTTCATACGGTCCGTGAGGTCTGGTCTCTTCAGGTAAATATGCTTTATAGGAGAAACTTCATCTCCACGGAATGTGAAATGTCTTAGTTCCGACAAAGCTCTGAAACAAAATATTATGATCATTTTCAATATTTAATTTGTTTTAAACATACTTTACAATCATAATTTTAGCAATTCACAGATATACATGGAAATTTAGTAATGTGTGAATAGTTTTCTACTGGTCAATAATTTCACGGTTCGCGAGCAACCAGTGTTCGATCCCCGCCTAATGAAATGGTTGATTGCAATTTAAAGTACTGATGCGGTGAAGGAAAACATCGGAATTCAATTCACATACCTAATATCTGCGAAATCAAAATATTTTGGATATAATATATGAAGTCTGCAAATACGCGCTGAAGCAGCACGGTTGACTGATAGCTGCATAAACAAAAAAATAATTCAGCCTGTCTGTGCCCAGCAATGAGACGTACATCTGTATCTATCGTACGAATGTACAATATTGTAATTGTTTTTTTTTAAATAGGATAAAAGGTGACATACGAACATACAGTCCACCAGATGGCAAGTGGTTGCTGTGACCCACAGACATCTAGATCTATCCTCGATTACGTCACCCGTGAGGACTAAGATGGAATGCCTAGTTTCCAGTAAAAAGAGTCTCCGGTTCTCCACACTCACTCACTCAAAGTCGTTTTATTCAATGTATGGTCAGTTCCGTATACGTCAGTAACCGGTTCTCATTCACTCAATCATTAATCCCATTTTTTTTATAGTTTGTTCTTTTGCACCCTAAACACTTGCAGTCATTGCTGAATATTAGTTAAATGTCTTTTTTACGTTTTTTCGTTTTTTTACGTGGTAGAGCCCTAGTACAGCTATATTGATAGTTGTATCACGAATGGGTCGGCTCGACCGTGGAAGGACCACGCTCTTATTGAATACCAGCGTAAAATAGCAGCTTGGTGCTACCGTGTTTCGTATGGTGAGTGTAGAGAACTCAGGACCCTTTTTACTGGAAACGAGGCATTCCAGCTTTGTCCTCACGAGTGACAACACATCTGCATTTTGATTCGTAATCGAGGATGGATGTAGATTTCTATGTGCCACAGCAACCACTTACTATCAGGTGGACTGTGTGCTCGTTAGTCACCCTTATCCTATATAAAAACAAAGTTTGATAGAACTATTCTTGTTGTGCAAAAATTGTTGTTGTGTTTTAGAACTGTTGTTTAAACGCTCAATAGTTACTATTAGATGTCTGTGTTTTATAAATTAACGTACTGTTGAAAAATTAAACAAACTTAATACAACCTCAAAATTTTATGAATTATACACCTTCCTTGATACAACTACAGAAATTAATAAATTATGGTCGAATTTCCACCACTTTATTATTTTTTATATCTGAGCTATACCGGCTTTTTTTTCTTCATAAAAAATGTATTTGATAATATCTATGCCAGAGTCTTCTACTTCGTTCACAATATTACACAATATTTTTTCCTCATGATAAAAAAGTCGTCCGGTATAATACTTCACTTTATGAGTTAATCGTGTTTTTGCGTACATTAAAATGATATTTAAATTTTGTATAACCGACGCACTAAAAAGTTACACAAGGACAAAATACAAGGGGTATTATATAAGGCAGTCTTACGTGGGGGGGGGGGGGCTATGTTCAGCAGTGGACTTTTATAGGCTGTAATATATGGATGGATGGAAGCAGATGGTGGTGGCACCCAGCCATCTTCTCTATTGAAATTTGGATGTTTTTTAATTACAACAGCCTTACAGTGTTCTTTTGCGCGGATTTGTTGTTATCAAATACGATAGATTGGCGGGGACGCTCTTAAACGTGTTCACAGACTGCAAACTTTTTTTTAAATTTAAAATAAGGTTGACAAACGAGCACACAGTCCACCTGATGGTGAATGGATGCTGTGGCCCATGGACATCTACATTTATTCTC